AGCAAGAGAAAGCCTGTGTGAGAACCAGCTAGAAAAAAAATGGGATTAAAAAAAATCACACACACACACAACAACAACAAAAACAAAACAGAAAATAGCAAGTGTTGGCAAGGACGTGGAGAAATTGGAACCCTTGTGTGTTGCTGATAGGAATGGAAAATGGTGCAGCTGCTATGGATTTTCCATGATCCAGTCATTCCAATTCTGGGTATATACCCAAAAGAATGGAAAACAGGATCTCAAAGAGATATTTGTACTCCCATATTCACAGCAGCGTTATGCACAATAGTTAAAATGTGGAAGCAACCCAAGTGTCCATGAGGGATAGATGGATAAACAAAGTGTGGCAGATACATATAATGGGATATATGTATAGGAATGAAATTCTGTCCCATTTTACAACAGAGATGAACCCTGAGGACAGTATGGTAAGCGAAGTTAGTCACAAAAGGACAAATCCTGCATGATTCCACTTGTATGAGGTACTTAGAGTAGTCAAAATCAGAGAGACAGAAAGTAGAATGGGGTTTGCTGGCGCTGGAGGAGGAGGGATGGGGAATCATTGTTTAATGGATACAGAATTTCAGGTTTGCAAGATGCAAAGAGTTCTGGAGATGAGTGGCGGTCATGGTCGCCCGACAATGTGAAAGTATTCGATACCTTTGAACTGGACATTTAAAAATGGTTAAGATGGGAAACTTTATGTTCTGTGTATTTTACCACGATTGGAAATTTATTTTTAAATCGCAAAGAGATAAAAAGAAAAATCAGGTCACACCCTGAGTCTTCAAAGAATAATATCAGGCCCTGAACAACCTCCATGGCTGGCCCCAAACTCAAACCCGATTCCATCTGTGAGAGCTGCTCCCGGGGAGTCGGGAAGAGAGACACTAGCCCCGTCCTGGGCCTGATGGAGGAGTCTTCAGGCTCTTCCCACGTCAGTGTCTAAACACCACCTTCCCCAGACTTGGAATACTCAAAGGCACTCGACGATGGGTTTCTAAATGTGACATCTCCAGGTCTTAAAGGTGACATCCAGAACTATGCAAAAAATACGATGTGAAAGTATGTCTTCCTGAAACTACTTAGAAAGGTGGTAGTCACTTCCATAGGGCAAAGTTTCCATCCCATAGATAATCTGAAATAGTCAAATCCCAATCCTGTGGGAAAACTAGAGGATCGTGAGTTTTATCACTGGAAAAAGGATGAGTGATGACATATTGTCCACCTGATGGCTGAGGAAGCTGAGCCTAACTGGCTGGGATGACCCCATGGCTGGTGGCAGAGCCAGGAGCTCCTCTGGCCCCATCCTGACTCCTGCCTGCCCGTTCATGTCAGGATCTCCTCTGTTCCACTGGGTTGATAGTGACATGGTAACCTAGACTCATCTCCTACTCAAGCGAGAGGTCAGCATGGACATGGAACAGAGCAGAAGCCTGCCCTCTCTCAGGTCCAGGCACCCTCGTGAAAAAACAGCCAACACTGCCCAGTGCACATGGCATCTGCAGGGAAGCCAGCCTCCGAGGCAGGGGCCAGGTCTCTTCCCTCAAGGATCAAATAGCCTCATCTTCAAATGGATGCCCTTTTCTGTCTTTCAAAATATCAGTCAAATCTCATTTCCTTCTCCGAACGTTTTTGTGACTTAGCATATTTTTGTGACTCCAGAGGCAGAAATCCTTTCCAAGGTAGCCAAACCACTTCACCAGCACTTTCTCTAAGTCTAGTTTCATTTAAATTGATGGAGTTGGGTACCTTGGAGGGTGTCTGCAACCTAGAAAATGTCATGCCCACCACCATCACCATCCAAGGGGCTGGGGCCCCGCCTGCTGTGTTTCTGCTGGTCTCTGCACCCCTGGGACCAGGGCTGGCACAGGGCTGACCTGCTCCCCACTCCTTCCCAGGCCTCAACTGTTCAAATCTCTCTCTGATTCCATGACATACACCTGAATCTCCCCATAAACTCTCTCTTTTTATGTGATTTTCAGTTTTCTGAGTTTTTCTCTTTCTTGCTACCAAAAACGCCTAACGAATACAATGTCTGACTCTCTGCCTTTTTGCAGCCTAAGCTACCAAGCACATCAAATGACAGCATTTCATGTCATTTTTTACAGCTTTACGGAGCTGCGAGGAACAGAGAGGTGAGCATTTTCCCACGACTGCAGAGAATGACCACAGCCTTAACCCCAGCAACCGACGTTGTGATAACATTTTAAGATCTCAGAGTCTCTTTCATTCGGGGAATACGCATTAGTGTTTCTAGAGTTGAAAGCCACCTTGAGAATATGGGGAGAAGAGCAAACCCATTAGTTTTATGTTCGTAACTAAACCAGAACTGGAAAGCACATCAAATGCGGCACAGCTGATGGTGTCAGGCACGGCTGTCAATAGTCTGTGTGGCCCTGAGCTAATACTCCCCTAGCTGGCTCCCTTCACAGGGCAAATGCATCAAGCAGGGTGACAGTCATTTACTGCTTGCCTAGAACATGTTAGATACCACAGGGCCGGGGAGGAGGGGATGCAAATCACAGAGGACTCACCACAATTTCAAAGGCCTGTGAGATCTGACAGGCTATGCCATGCCATGCATCATAGGTCCTGAACAGGCCCAGAGAAGAGAGGGACCCCCTCCAGACAGACCCTTGTCCTTGCAGGGTTTCAGTGAGCAAACCCAGAGGCAGAGCCCGGAAGAGATGCAAGAGATGCAGAATCTTCTCCAAGTCACTTTAACATTTCTGAGTCTGAGGCTTATCCAACAAGAAAAATATGAAAAGAACATAGAATCCTTTCTTCTGAAACCATCTATGAAGTTAGAGACTCTGACACTTGATATGAGGAGGTGAAGGTTTGAGGGGAGGCCAATGGAGAGTCGTTAAAGCCAAATGAGAGGGGATGAAAAAGAGAAGCAGAAATGCAAATTCAGGCAGTGACAGAGTCAAAGGGACCCAGAGCTGAGCAATGTGCATCTTTGATGTAAGGGCTGCAGTCAGAGGGACCAATTTCTTGATATGTAGTGGCATCTGTGCTACAGTGACTACCAACGTGGCTGGGAAAACTCAAGTCCTGAGCCTCAGGCCAAATCCCTCTGGTGGAGCCTTGAGATGGAAACTCCAGTTTGCTTGGGCTGGGAAACTGGTGGACCATGTGTCTCTTAACCTGGAACATCAGAACTCGGGGGAGACAAATGAAGGAGTCAATCAAACCGGTAAATTAACCACACCAATTTCAGTGAGCAATCAGCGTGTGTTTCATCTTTAAAAGGTGTGTAACGTTTTGTAAGTTTTTACAAATCCAACAGATTAGCCTGGTGATTATAAAAGATATAATGGGGTATTAGATTTTAGAATCTGGATACCAGCTGAAAGGTATCAAATGATCTGTCTAAGGTTGTACATGGATCGAACATGCATTGTAAGATTAATTCAACAGAGTCGCAAAAATGTTATAAGTTCTTGGAAGGGTTTTGCTTGTTAGGGCGTTAGGAGTCCTTCAGAAGAAAAGCAAATCTATTAGATGTGAAAATGCAGTTTAAAATATTTAGAGGGTAGAATTAATAGGTAACAAACTAGATAGTAAGCAGAATAATAAATTTACAAGCTGAACTCTAAAGCTTAAGGAAACTAGTGCTTGGAAGTTTAGCTTTCAGAATTCTAGCATTCATTTTTAGACTTCCATCAATTGTACTTGATCTCTTCTAGGCACACTCACTGCTCTCCAGGACGCCACCCAGACTCACACTCACAACACCAGGGGGGTGGGAAACTTTGTAAATAAGTGGGGCGGTGGGGCGTTAAAAATGAAAAACAAAGAGTGGGGAGTGAAGATGCATTCCAGGCAAGGGGAGCCCAAGAGTGAAGGAGATGAGTCCAGAAACAGGATGAGGACCACAGAGCCCATTCTTTCCGTGAAAATCAGTGGCTTCGATTCGCCAAGGCTTTGTTCAATCGGATTGAACTGGAATGATTCAACTGGGGAGGAGAGAGAGAGGAACAAGACGGGATTGGACTGTAGGACCTTGACCATCAGATTAAGGATTTCTGTCAGATTTAGGACCCTTAGAGCTGGAGTCAGTAGCAAGTCTCTTAGCTGGTGAGCAGCACGCAGACTCTGCAGGCTGCTGAGGGGAGGAGAGTTGTAAGAAAGCACACCTGGCCTTGATGTGGAGGGTGGACTGGAGCTATAGAGGATGCTGGAGGCAGGGCAGTGGCTGCTGGCGGAAGCAGGAAGGAGATTTCTGATGATAGAGAGAGAAGGAAAGATCGCAGCGAGGTTCTCACCCAGGCACCTGAGAAATGAGGATGGAATGAGATAGGAACAGGAGAGGCAGGAGATGCCCCACGGGGAAAGAAGCGTGAGTACTGGCAGGGAGACACGGAAGAGAAGATGTCCCCCAGGCACACAGACACGGGGTGTGCAGGGCAAGTGCGTGGGGTTAGTGAGAGATCCAGGTCGGGGGTTGAGATCGGAGCAGCCTTGCACAAGGGTCAAAGAGTGAGGAGGGGGCTGAGGAGGACTCTTTCACCAAGGAGTGTGGAGGGAAGACAGGGGAAGGAAGTCATCTCCCACCTGCCACTTACTGATCACACAGGAGCAGCCTCTGAACCCTGTGTCTCCAGCCAACACGGCAACTCTGCAAAGTGGAGGGTTTTGCCCCATTTTACAGATAAAGCAACTGAGGCCTAAGAATCTACAATTCTTGCCCAAAGTCAGATGTTCTCAGGTGGCAGAACTGGGTGACTCTACAGCTAGGTCTTTCCTTCGAGGGCCCGTGTCTCCAGGCAAAAGGCCAGATGCCCCCCAGCCCCTGTGCTCAGAATGAATGAGGTTGGGCTGGTGTTTGGTTACTGGATTACTTATAGTTTCACAAGAACTTGGTACATCTGCATTTTAGGGGAAAAAACAAAACAATTTTCAGGTTCCAGTAAAGTTATGAAATCCAGGGAAGCATAAACAGTGCGAAGCTGGCCTGAGCCCTGGGTCGGTTCTTCAAAGACTTAGCAACTCCTCTGCCACCCGGAGAACCAGGCCCGAGATGACTCCAACGGTGGGTGCTCGGGCTGAGGCCCCACTTGAGACTTGGCCCCATGCCCCACAGCCCTGTGTCCGGCCTCATTAGACAGCAGGCCACAAAGCTGCTTCTGTGAGGTTAGCATCTTTCTCACTCACTTGCTTTTTTTTTTTCTTTAATTAAAATCGATACCATAGTGATGAAAAAAGCAGGCTTTGCAAAGCACAGGAAGTCCCTGGATCTTTGTTTCTCCTCCCACATCTGCCAAAATGCAAATAAATTTCCCTAGGGCCTCAACTCACACTCCATAAATAAAGATCTGAAGTCACTCAAACTTCCACATAGGAAGTGTTAGACATCTCAGAGGAAATTCGCTTGTTAAACCCTTGAATACACATGTGAGGTGTGGGAGAGAAGGCATTTGTCAACCAAAACGTAGTCCCCTCTTCCTACTGTGGAGCGATAGCTAAAAACCTCAAGGCCCAGCCCTGTTGCAGCCTGCTGTGGCATGCGGCCAGGTCTTGCCAATGGATGGGAGGGGATGGAAGGGGATGGTAAGTGATGGAGGCCTCACCCAGGCCAAGGCTTCGAGGAGCAGGTAGGGTTTCTCCACTCTCTTCTGCTGCTGGATGCAGAGGCCTCCAAGGCCGGGAAGGGTGGAGAGCCGTGAAATGGGAGGAGCGTGGGTGGCTCTCTCCGTTGCTAAGGAGAGGAGAGAGCTGCCAACCAGGAGCAACACGGCTGGATTGTTCCTGAGCGTTGAGCCCCTGGTATGTTTGTTTGCATAGCTGCTGGCATTTCTTTATCTGGTGTATCTGAGTGTCTATAAATGTATTTATACACATGTGCGGTGGGTGCGTTGTTTTAAGAAACTCCGAGATACCAGCCTAGGCTTTTGAGTTAACTGCATTTGCATCACAGGAGGGTTCCTCACTGCACAAATGATCCACCGCAGGATAGCCCTCCCCAGTGCAATTAAAATACTATTCTGCTTACAAAAAACTGATTTCCATACAGCTTGAGAACACGCTGCCCGTGTCATGAGTGTGTGCGCTGATTCGCACAGAAGATGGGGTGGCCCCGGCTAACCCTGGAGCCTCTGCAGGCCTTGTCCCCTGCCTCCAGGCTGATGAGGCTGGGGTGGACTTCCTCCACAAACACTCACTTCAGACCCACAGCACAACGTGGTCTGAAATATGCTCGGATCCCTGCGAGGCCTCTTCTTACGGGGCCCCCTAGCACGGATGACACCTCCATGAAGAAGCCATAAAACAGCGGACACGGATTTAGCCACAATGGGGTCACTTCTTGTTGGTGAACAGGGAAGTCAAGGTTCCCAGGCTTTCCCTTCTAGAATATGAGACTGAGGGCCCCGTGAAGAAGGTTTGGGCACAGGCCACCTGGCCGCAGGGGGCTGGAGGCCTGCACATCGAGGCTGGGAGAGGGTGGGAAATGAATCCTAAGTGAGGAGCCAGAGATGGAGGCCAGGGCGGCTGCTGGGAAGGCAGAGGCGGAGGGAAAGAGAGTCTAAGAAACAATCCTCGCAGTGAACCCACGCTAAGGGGACAAAGCAAATGTTACGAAAACTCAAGGGAATCAAGCTGGGAATTGGGAAAAGAAGGGAAATGGATTCTAAAAACTGCCTGGCCTTTAAATCCATTCGTTATTTATGTAAAAAGTCAAAGTAGCATGATAGGGTTTAAAAAATTTTTTTATCTAGATTTTTTTTGGGGGGGTCGTTTATTTTTTATCAACAAAAAGTCGTTGCAAGTGTATGCAACTACTGGAATTGAAGGCAGGGGGGCAGCTGGGTCCCAAATATTCTGCCAAGATACCCGATTGGTCCTGATGAGAGATTGGCAAGGCCCCCTTGTCCCAGAGACAATCCTCCCCCCGCCTGCGGATTTAGCCCACACCCAGTCGGGTCCCACACACTTCCACTGCTCCACCCCTGCAGAAACCCATCCTGTCTGTAATCCTCCTGCTCGCAGAGAAGAACTTGGTGATGGTATGGTTAGGCACACTCCTAACCAGAGAGCCCCAGACCACAGATATGACACCAAACAAGCAGTAGAAAGCCAAATAAGCTTTAAAATACTCCACCCCCAACAATGTTTTATTACAAAATCACCAAAACAAGGATCAGAAGACCCATAGAAACAGGCTCTAGAGAGAGCAGAAGAGAGCGTCAGCTGCATTGGTGGCCTAGAGTAGCATGTCCCCACTTCTCAAACATGTGTGGGCGTTCAGATCCCCTGAGGATCTTAGCAAAGGCAGATTCTGATTCTGTAGCTCTGGGGTGAAGCCCCAGAATCTGCATTTCTTACAAGCTGCCTGGGGATGCCATTGCTGCTGGTCCAAGCACTGCACTTCGAGTAGCAAGGATTTAGAGCAATTCAGGGGTGAAAGAGCTACAGATGTTCTGATCCCAGACTTGGGATATGCAGATAAATGGGGCATCAAGAAAGCTCTGCCCAAGTCGCTGAGACTGTCAAGGTTTCAACACACACACGCATGCTCGTGCTCACAGACGAGAAGGAACCTACTCAAAACCTGCGTTACCGATTTTTATTCATACCACACATCACATGGGTAATGCATTCAACCTGGAAGTTCGAACATTAATTCTTGAAGTTTCTTTTTGAGTCTCAGTCACAGGAGGAACTTTTGAAAGCAAACGTCTAAAATACATTCTGATATCCAGGCATATGTGTCGCCCGAGTCTTTTAATACCTCTAACCTCAGCAGATGGGTATTGGGGTTTTAATTGATATTAACATGCGATACGGCACTCACGCGCTCATAGCCTGAGACCCCAAAATGAGTGTGATTATCTCGTTGTTCATAAATCTGACAGCTGTTGACTGCCAGCAATGTGAAGTGCACCAGACGCTGTGGACGAGGAGGAGATTCAAGGACACTAAGTCCGGGCCAGGTCCCAAGATGCCTTTCTCTAATCGCTCAAGAGTTAACTGCCACCTTGAATTACCTTGGAACGTACGGGGAGGAGCTGTTCTCGTCCTTCTCTGCCCTCCAATGGTATTGTATGAACTTTAAACTGAAAAGAGTTCCAAATGAAAATATGACTTATAAGTAGGTAAAGTGAACAGCACCGTTTCTTTGAATGTCTGCTTTGTTTAGCATTTAAATTATGTTGTGATTTTTCTATCAAACAGTTCATCTATACTCTGAGTGAAACAAAACAGAACATGTGGCCAAAGGGGAGCCCTTGCGAGAAAAAGGCAGGGAAGGAGCAGACACAAACTCATGCCGAGCTTGGGAATTGCAGCCCTATGGCCTGTATCCTGGGAAATACAGCCTGGCGCCCTGTCGGACCCACATGGACTCAAATTTCCCAGTTACCATTTAAGAGCTGCCTGATCTTGGGCTAGTCATTTGACCCTGCTCAGCCTCAGTGTCCTCAGCAGCATATCTACTTCCTTGGGTCACCATCAAGATGGAATGAGATATCGTGTACAAAGGGCCAGCGGGTCACAAGCCCCCCACGTGGAAGTAGATGATGCTACAGCCCATGAACCCTTCTGCCCTCACAGAGCTTTCACCTGTTTGCAAGTTGACACTCTCCTCCGAAGCCTGCCTTTTCAAAATAAGGGAGATGTCCCACCCCTGGGGTTCTTTGTGATTCTCAGAGCTTTCTTTTTCACCCAGGTAGGGAAAACTAACTTTTGTACCCAACATTACATCAATGACATTGCTTTATCTATGTCTTTGTTTTATGGTGCTTTTGGCGTCCTCATTAAGAAATCTTTGCCTCTGCCAAGATCATGAAGATAGTCTCCTATGATTTCTCCTAGAAGTTGACTTGTTTTACCTTTCACATTTAATTCTGCCATCTACCTGGAACTGATTTTTAAAGACACTATTTCAAATACTAATTTGGTTTTTGAATATAATTTGCATATTAATTTGGTAGTATTTGTCCTAAATTTTCTTTTTTGTTTTTAAATAAAAAACCAGGAATTTAGACAGTACTAATTTTCTGGATGGAAAAAAGAATTTATAAACTCTAAAATTATACTATTGCCCGATTTTAACTTTAGGATAGTCAAAATATCAGAAAACAACTTTTCCATTTTGTGAGGCCGAATGAAAGTCAATTTGCTGTAAGTATTGATTACATACATAGAGAATGCTTGTATGAGGTAAACGAATCATGGTGACTACTTAAGACACTGAGACTGGTTTAAGGAAGGAGTCATTCATTCAAGAACATTTTACTGATATTTATATTATAAATACACACTTGCAATAAGTATATTTGTATAAAATATTTATACTTGTCAGCTATGCTATATTCATTATATTTATTTGCACATGTTTATGTATTTATCCATATGTATTATATTAAATTCATTTATATTGTTGTGCCTGTGAAGATATGTGACTGCTCGGGTGAAACTGGGGAAATTCCAAAAGCAACTGGCACCAACCACAGAATGAGGACACTTGAGGGCAGGTTAACAATGCCATTCGTGAGCAATAGCAAATTTTACTCTTTGCCCCTGAGCATTATCATTATTTCAGATCGGAGTCCTTTAGGTGACAGATGCCACGTGCACCAGAAGTGTGATCTTTGTGTAGTAAGAAAGACCCGGCATTTACAGTGTCGCCGCTACACTTTGCATCCTGAGTCAGAACGGGACCATCCCCGAGACTGACGGTGATCGACGTGGCAGAGCACAATTTCTCCTGCACAGAATTGACTTCAGATACTGGTTTCTCAGGTGGCCAAGCCACTAAGCAGGGGAAGCAGTTTATTTACCCTTCTTCTGAATGTGAAGATCCATGAAATTGGAAAGTAATCTGACAGTCTTAGGTAAAAAGCAAAATTCTATGCTGTCCTATTTATAGCACCACAAATCACTTTTTATTCCAAGCTGTAAATGCTGTCATCGGTGATCCTAGCAGGTTCACATTAAAGAAAAAAAACATGCTGCCTGAGGGAAAGGTCAGGCCAAGAGATTCAGGGTTCTCATATTATAAAGATTTGGCCACGGCGAGGGGCCAGCACCAACGAACCCAGTGCTGTCTCCAGCGGAATCTGAATTCCGGCCTGCTTGAAACAGAGCTGTCAGACTATTCTGAAATTTTTTAAAGTTTGTCTTTACTCCTGCCGAGATAAAAGACTAGTTATACATCTCCATGGCCTGTGGATACCTGAGCGGACCCATATTTTCCCCAAAACCGCTTTAACCAAAATCATGACCCAAAATGACGTCTCACCCTTTGGTCTTGAACATGATGATTTTTGAACTTAAAAACTTTTTCCAGAGCCAGAATTACTAATGACAGGGTCAAGTGCACAAGAATGTAGGCATGGGACATGTAGGCTGTGTGACTCAGGAAAAAGTCATGCCCATGTGGGGACCGCAAAGCTCTATTTAGCTCTCCTGTCCACGCTCAAGTTGAAAACTACTCAATACCCAGTTTTTGGTTAATTCTAATGGATTCTAAGCTGCTCTGCATCACAATAATTTCCCTGTATGATTTGCTTCTCTTAACTCCAAGTTAGGAATAATAAAACTGAGACCTCAACTCGAGGGACAATGCTCCCCCTCTGTGCACAGCTGTCACAGCTGTCCAAACCATGTACCAATCACGAGTTAGAAAAGGAGGGGAGCTGGTCCGCCAGCCCCTTTTACCTAGTGCTTCAGGTTCCTTATATCATTGTTCTTTGCCGATTTTTAGCAGGTGTGGTCTAATCCACACCTAATCACACCTCTGGGCTCAACCTCTGGGAGCAGCCGCTCTTGTTCCTGGCAGGTTTCTTGATGACATGAAGTAGAGGATGGAACGAAATCTGCCAGACCCACCTGCTCCTGACCTAGGTGTCGGTGGAAAGACCCGACTCTGCCCTGTAGGCCTTTCACAGCCTCCAGGACCCCACTACTCATCAAAGAAGAGAGCATCTCTTTCTCCTCTGTGAGGGGACTCTAAATGGCAGGAAATGCCCGCCATTAAAATTCTAGGAGTGTTAAAATTTAAAAACTGCATTATTAGTGAATTCGGCACTTAAGTTCCTTTCTGTCTAGCTTGAGAAACAGATGGTTAATTCTGAACGTTATTCCATGAACTTCCCAGTTCAAAACGACATCCTAAGCTTTGATTAAAGGAGGTAGTATAGAAAACATGTAGAGCAAAGAATATGGAAACAGCCATAATGACTGACACTGTGGCCAAAAGTCTTCCAACTATGGTAGAAAATTTGGTTTGATTTTTTTTGGTGGGGAGGGGCAACGATACCTTGGAAATGAGAAATTGGAGGAGGTGGGTGCAATATTTCCAGTTTTCACCTTCACGGTTTCAGCAATACAAAATGGTTTAAGCGCAGGTCACCCCACAGTGACTGTGCAGAGACTGCAAGTACAGTCAGCCCTGGGTATCCTCAGGTTCCGCATCCACAGATTCAATCATCCATGGTTGGTTGAATCTGCGGATGAGGAACCTGCAGATACCGAGGGCCTACTGTAGGGACTCGGGCATCCGCAGATTCTGGTATCTGCCAGGGGTCCTGGAACCGGTCCCCCGCAGATAGTGAGGGACGGCCATCGTCATTTACCCAGTGTGAAAGCACACAAAGGACAGAGGGTCACATTTCACGGCCACTTTACTTCTCATGGCCTGGCTACCTGGAGACTGAGCCGCTAGCTGACTGCCTTGTTCATCTCCCTGGCCCTTTGCTAAGTCACAATCTACTTCAACACGGAGGATGAAGGGAGAAACATGAGCAGACCATTTTCCAACCGTCGATCATCTGACGTGTGATTGTGGTTGTGCAGATTTTATTGCTCTTGGCAAAATCTTGTCCTTCCTGCAGTGCCGCTGAAATACTAGGTGGTATCAATTGCCGTCGAAAACACAACCCGTTATGTGTCAGACACAAAGGAAATAAAAATCGCTGACACTCTGCTTTGCAAGGATAAATTAATTTGCCCCAGAAGTGGTGTGTTTGCCACCGATCTCATTAGAAATACCGTGAGATTATCGGGAAAAATTAATACAAGCTGTTGGTTATCAGCTACATCATTTCAGCTCACCAAGGCAAGTCCTGGTTGTCAGTTTGCTGCTGGGGGCAAGGACAAGGCGTTAACAAAGAAAGTCACATTCAATTAGAAACCATCACCCGGGCTGGCATTTGCGGTTACTCTGCACAGATCAGCTTGAAGAACAACCACACTGCTGCTTTTTGGTTTGAACTTGAAAGCAAGGGCATTCTGGGCAGCAAGGGGAATCAAGTCCTCTCTCTTAACACGCGGATGAGAAGAAAAAGCTGTTTGCCTGGAAAGTTTGGAAACGGAGGCCCCGTGCTCCTGAGCATGCTCAGGAAATACAGGATTGAATAGTTATTTTTCAAGTGCCTTAGGAAAAATACTCATTTACCGAAGACGGGGCTGGTTGAATCTGCAAGATGCCAGTGATGGCTCCCGGCTGTCCCTGTGCTCAGGTCCTCTTAGAAGCTTTCCAGTGACTGGCCTATGGTATCCATGCATGGCACTCACCTAATGCCTAGGATGCTCATTGATAACTGCCACACTGATGGTCCTCATGTGCCTCCTGAAACATCCACTTAACAAACTTATTGAGACATAGCTGTGCACCCAGCGCCACTCGAGGCACTGGGAATAAGTAGTGAGCAAGAATGCCAGAAAAAGAGAAATTGTGTTCAGTAGTGTTTCATTGCTAAATAAATTTCATTCGGTTTCCAGCCTGCACAGATTGGTCATCGGGGCTGTGGGTCATCTCTGAGTTAAGTTCATCTGATGCTTTTCAGGAAGAGCCTGTTTCCCAGCTATTCTGCACAAGTGGCTGTTGCAAGTTCTCCTTTGTTCCCCTTAGACCAACACAGATGCCGACACGCACACCTGAGGCCAGGAGAAGGTCACTGCCACGCTCTTAGCCCTGCCCCAGGGCCTTTGCAATGGCCATGCTCTCTGCCCGGAGTTGTCTGCTTTCCAGTAACCTCAGTCTGTCATTTTCTCACTTCTTTCTGGTTTTACTCAAAAGTCACCTTCTCCTAGGTGGGTGAGGCTTGCCCTGGCCACCTCCTCTCAAATTATACCATCCCCCAATTCGACTGCTTCTCCTCTTCCCTTCTCTATGCTTTATCCTTGGTCCTTCTCATTATCTACACTCTACATTTTATGTGTCTGGTTTATTTCTGCCTCCCTCCCTAGACTGTCAGCGCCCCAAGGGCAGGAACCTCAGTCGGCCTGGAAGAGCTACTCGCACACAGTAGGTTTTTAGTTGACCTCTGCTGAGCGAATGCGCGAATGAATGAAAGACTTCAGTATTTCTGGTGAATTTAAACCTTGCCTCCCCTTTATTTAATGTATACAGTTGAAGCTTCTTATCACAAGCATACAACCCTTTCATCCTGTTTCCTGTTGATTTTTGTAAAATAATAGAAGCAAAATGCAATAGACTATTCAAAAAATTACCCTCTGACATGGCTTGGAGGATGTGGCTGAAACTGGATTTTGATGGCCTGGGGGCAGCATTGTCAGGAAAGGTTTGTCAGCCAGGTCACAAAAGGACAAATTTAGTCCCTATTATAGGCCTCAGTATATTAGTAACCAAGGTTGTTCACGGGTTTTTCTTTTGAAAGGCACATCTTTTTAAAGGCCTATATGAAAGTCTGGAAGAGTCTGCATGTGATCCAGCCTTGGCTAGAGCTGGCCTGTTGGCTTGTCACTGCTGCTAGGACTTCACATCCTGGGGTCAGAGGAGAGGCATAATTTGTCATATCATATCCCCCATGGCATTTTTCACACAACTTTGCTATAGTAAAGGTCCAAAAAAAAAAGTGTTGTTGAAATGACTTGACGGTGGAATTTGCTTCTTCATCCTTTCTGGGCGTGAATCCCCGGATCCGCAGGCAGGACCGGTGCCCTCAGGACTGAGGCAGTCCCCGCTCTGCACCGAGAGGCATCCGCATCCCTGGGCCTGGGGAGGCAGAGCCAGGAGCCAGTCGCCTCACTGGCCTGAGACGAGCATTTAAAGAGACCTGGAGACAAAGGCAGCTGAGGCCTCCTGTACCACCCACCAGCCTCATTTCCCAGCCCTGGAGCCTCGCTCATCCGCTGCTGGTTTCTCTGGCAGCGCTGTCTGGTTTGGGCTGGGGCCTTCACCCCGCCCTGACTCACGTATCCAAGAGGAACCAAGCCCCTTCCCCTGCCAATGTGTCTGTGAGCAGCAGATAACCAGGCTGACAGAGGTTTCACTCCCCCGGTCAGGGGCCCCAGCACCACAGCGGGTAACTGTGAAGGTGAAGGGGCTC